GTCATCTATTTTATATGTTCACCGATTCCACTCATTTCCTGAGTACAGTTCAGACCCCATCAATGTATATTTATATTTAGGATTTTTGGCACCAATGTGCATCACCTTGCACTTGGCCCCATTTGCCATGTTGACACCCACTTGCCCATCCTTGACAGATCCCTTTGGAGTGCCTCACAATCCTCACTGGTTTTTACTCCCAACTCCAAATCATTAATGAACAAGTTAAAAAGCAGTGGACCAAGTACTGATCCCTGCGGTACCCCACTGCTTACCATCCTCCACTGAGAAAGCTGCCCATTTATACTCACTCTCTGTTTTCTATTAATAAGCCAGTTTTTGATCCATAAAAGGACTTGTCCTTCTATCCCATGATTTTTGAGCTTACTTAGGAGCCTTTGATGAGAAACTTTATCAAAAGATTTCTGGAAGTCAAGGTAAACAACATCTATTGGATCCCCCTTGTCCACATGTTTGTTAACCCCCTCAAAGAACACTAACAGGTTAGTAAGACAAGATCTTCCCTTACAGAATCCATGCTGAGTCTGCCTCAATAGGTTTTGTTCATCTATGTGCCTACTAATTCTTTCCTTAATAATGGTTTCCACCAATTTACCCGGTATCGACGTCAGACTGACTGGCCTGTAATTTCCCGGATCTCCTCTGGAACCCTTTTTAAAGATGGGAGTGACATTAGCTACCTTCCAATCCTCAGGAATGGAGGCAGATTTTAAGGAAAGATTACATATCTTTGTCAGGAGATCCACAAGTTCACAATTGAGTTCTTTCAGAACTCTTGGATGTATGCCATCTGGGCCTGGTGATTTATCAGTTTTTAAGTTGTTTATCAGTTTTAGGACCTCCTCTCTCGTCACCTCAATCTGACTCAGGTCTTTCAACACCCCTCCCGAACTCAGCGGCTCTGGAGTGGGCAAGCACCTCTCATCTTCCACAGTGAAGACGGAGGCAAAAAATGCATTTAGCTTCTCAGCCATTTCCCTATCATCCTTCAGTACTCCTTTTACCCCTTGGTCATCCAAGGGCCCCACTGCCTCCCTGGCTGGTTTCCTGTTTCTAATGTATTTGAAGAAAGTTTTATTGTTGGTCTTTACATTTTTTGCTATATGCTCCTCATATTCCCTTTTTGCATGCCTGACCACAGACTTGCATTTTATTTGCCATAGCCTGTGTTCTGTTTTATCAGCCTCACTGTGACTAGCTTTCCACCGCTTAAAGGAATCCTTTTTACCTTTTACAGCTTCCATTACTTTGTTTGTTAACCATGTAGGCTTTTTCTTATACCTGTTTGTGCCTTTCCTAACCTGCGGAATATATTTTATTTGAGCTTCTAGAATTGTAGTTTTAAACAGTTTCCAAGCTTCCCCAATGGTTTTGACCCTTTCTACTTTTCCCTTCAGTTTCCTCCCCACATGTCCCCTCATATCAGAAAAATTACCCCTTTTAAAGTTAAAAGTGGTTGTGTGAGTCTTTTTGGCCAATTCCCTATTTGTACAAATGTTGAACTCAACAACATTATGATCACTGTTCCCAAGCGGTGCAATCACTTTTACATCTCTCACCAGGTCTTGAGTGTTACTTAGGACCAAATCCAGGATCGCCTCTCCCTGGTAGGTTCTGTGACCATCTGCTCCATAGCACGGTCATTTAGAGAGTCTAGAAACTCAAACTCTTTTTCTCGACTAGAACACATATTGACCCAATCAATGTGTGGATAGTTAAAATCACCTATTACGACACAGTTTTTTTGTCTAGCTGCTATCCAGTGTTTTTGTCTAGCTGCTATCTTTAATTCATTCATCATTTTATAATCCTCCTCTATCTTTTGATCCGGTGGGCGATAACAAACTCCCAGTGTTAAGTTTCCTTTTGGCCCCCCTATTTCAACCCATAGAATATCCAGAAGCGAATCCAATTCTCTTAGCCTCTCAATCTTTCTGGACTTTATACCCTCTCTGACATACAGAGCCACCCCACCTCCAACCCTTCCCCCCTATCCTTCCGTTATAATATATAACCGGGAATCACTGTATCCCACTGATTTTCCTCATCCCACCAAGTTTCTGAAATACCCACAATGTCTATTTTTCCCTCTGACACCAAGCACTCCAACTCCCCGATTTTACCTCGGACACTTCGAGCATTTGTATAGAAACAGCTGTAATTTCCCATACTGGTTAAGCCTGCCACCTTCCTCTTGCTATCTCGAGACCTTGTCAGGCAGTCCATGTCACTAGCCATGGTCTCAGTGGACAATTTCAATCCACCTCCCTATAGAGAAGCAACAGGTACCTCCTCATTTCTCTGAGATGAGCCAACCCGAACCAGAGACTTTTCATCTCCTGTTGGCTTCCCCCCAATATTCAGTTTAAAAACTGGTGGACAATTTCAATCCACCTCCCTATAGAGAAGCAACAGGTACCTCCTCATTTCTCTGAGATGAGCCAACCCGAACCAGAGACTTTTCATCTCCTGTTGGCTTCCCCCCAATATTCAGTTTAAAAACTGCTCCGCCACCTTTTTGATTTTAAGCGCCAGCAGCCTGGTTCCTTCTCAGGAGAAGTGGAGACCGTCTCATCTGTACAACTCCCTCTTGCTCCAAAAAGCATCCCAGTGCCTAACAAACTTGAAACCTTCCCCCCTACACCATCGTCTCATCCACGCATTGAGACTCCTGATCTGTGCCTGTCTCTCCGGCCCTGCGCGTGGAACAGATAGCACTTCTGAGAAGGCTACCTTGGAGGTCCTGGACCTAAGTTTCCTGCCCAGCAGCCTAAATTTCTCCTCCAGGACCTCACAACCAGTGTTCCCTCTAAGCTGAGTTAGTGTGAGCTAGCTCACAGTTTTTAAGCCTCCGGCTCACACATTTTTCTCTTAGCTCAGGAAGAATAGCTCCAGAGCAAACTAATTTCTGCAGTAGCCAAATTACTGCTCATAGCTTTAATGCCAATAGCTCACAAAGTGGAATTTTTGCTCACGAGACTCTACAGCTTAGAGGGAACATTGCTCACAACTGTATTTCCCCACATTGTTGGTACCGACATGCACCATGACCACTGGCTCCTCCCCAGCACTGTCTACCAGCCTATCTAAAACACGCGTAATGTCTGCTACCTTCGCACCAGGCAAGTATTCTCCCAGCAGATGGTCAAGGTATCCCTGAGAGGCCTCTTGAACTTGAATCCCCCACGGAGACCATTCGTACCATCACTGGTCCTCTCGAAACTTATGGGACGACCGTTTGAGCCATTAGCAACGGCCCCTATACACCTAGTCTCCTGGAAGGCAGCGTTATTAGTAGCGCTCACCTCAGCGAGAAGGGCAATTGAGATTTGTGCACTGAGGTCAGACTCACCTTACACGCTTTTCCATGCTGACCAGGTAGTACTGAGGCCAGATCCTTCTTTCCTACTGAAAGTCGTGTTGCCGTTCTATTTGTTTCAAACGATCACACTGCCTCCATTTTTTGTGAACCAAAGGATGAAGGCCAGAGCGCGCTTCACATGTTGGACGTTCATCGAGCCCTGGCTTTCTACTTATCGAGAACTCAAGATTTTAGAAAGGACAAAAGGCTATTTGTATGTTACTCTAAACCTAGGAAGGGCCAACCTGTTTTTTGTCAACAACTATTAATGGGTCTTCTCAGCAATCACCTTATGCTATAAACTTGCTGACGTACCCCTACCGACAGTACCTTAGGCGCACTCAGCTAGGGCTGTGGCAACCTCCACGGCATTTATGGCCGGAGTTTTGTTACAAGGTATTTGTGCTGCAGCTATGTGGGCTTCCCCATCAACTTTCATAACACACTATGTCATGGACGTCAGGGCTAGAAAGGGCGCTTGCTTTGGTCAGGCGGTTCTAAAATCAATCTTCTGTTAACAAAGAGGATAGTTAGAGTTAAACAACAGAATGTAACCATTGAGTTAGATGTTTACTTTAGATGGTTGTAGTTGAAACTTCAAAATGTTCACAGTTTGAAATGTGCAGTTATGCAGATAAGTAAGAAGTGGTTCTGATATTTGTAGGTGATCAGTAATTGTTCCTTTGGTTAGTACTTACAAAGGTTAAAAATTAATAATAAAGCATTAAGTGTTTAAAAAATTAAAAATTGGATGGTGACCTCTAATTTTTTCCTTCTGGGTTGTTGACCTGTAGCAGTAGTGGATACCAGCACCCACCATCCAACGTGAAATTCAGCTTGCAAGTCACCTATGGTGTGTGGCCTGCACAGAGACCACGAAGAAGATAAACAGATGGCTTACCTGTAACTGATGATCTTCGAGTGGTCGTCTGTGCAGCCACACACGCCCAAGCAGCCATCCCCACTGCTGGCATAGTCTTTGTATAAGCCAAAGGGCATGGGACTTGTCGACGGTGTAGTATGGAACTGAGTGGGGGCGGAGTCTGCCTCATTGGGAGCGGGCTTCACAAGACAGAGACAGACCCCGCATCTGGTAAGCTGCTTCTAAGGCTTTTTTAGGCTTCCTGGTGAAGGTTTAACATAGGCGAGAAACCCATTGTGTGGCTGCAACAATGACCACTTGAAGATCATCAGTTCCAAGTAAGCAACCTGTTTTTATGAATAGTGGTCATTAAAAAACCTTTTTAGCATCTAAGTTTATTATGTGTGATGTATTTGCTTATCTCTGTTGAATAAGAAATGCTACAAAGTAGGAAATTTTTACAAAAGGTTGCTTCTTTTTCCTTTTAGGCCACAATGGCTGACAGTAGGCTAGTGGAAGTTTTTTGTTGTTCGCTTTATTGTTAACTTTTGTGGACCTGTTCTGTACGATTGCTGTAAAAACTAGTGTGTGTATATGGGGGGGGTCATTGGACCTTGAGTCAAGGCAAAATAATTGGCTGGGGGAGCCAGCACCATCCAGGTGCTTCTCCCGCCCGCAAAACATGGTGTTTGTGCCTTATCTCTGAAAGATTAATTTAAACTGGTGTCTCAACTAATGTATGCTTTGTTTGTTTAGAAATTGACAAAATTCAGAAAGATGATCCAAAGAAGGATGAGGAAGAGACCTATTTGGACTTGTTTTCCCACAAGAACATGAAGCTGAAGGAACGAGTTCTGATACCAGTCAAGCAGTATCCAAAGGTGAAGCCTGCAAGAGATTCTAAAATGGATGTTTATGTCCAGTTCTATAACTGTCTACTTTTATCTTCACCTAATTTCTTTATTGCTGTTATGAAATTTTTTCAGAGCATTTCTCTTCAGTGTCCTTTCTGCATTTCGACCATGTCTGAGAATAGATTTGTAAGATACACTGCATTCTACCCCCCCCCCCCTTTCCCCTTTTTTCTCTTTTTATATTTTTGAAGAAACAAAGAAATAATATAAAGGATATACAGAAAGGGAGAAAAGGTTACATGACATAAATATGTATATCAAAGTCTAAAAGACAGAACATATTTCTCTCCAGTGCCCCCTTTGTTCTTTGAAAAATGTTGGGGACTTTGTTTATAACGTACATTGATATTTACTTCTGATGGGGTACATTTATATTCATCATTTTACATTTCAAACTTCCTAACTAGTCTCTTTGTAGCTATATTATTAGTTTCATAATTGCTACACGCTACATTCTTTTTTCTTTCATATTTTTGCATTTTGTGTGTGTGTGCCCATGCCTGGAGCTCATGGCAACCTCTGGCAACTCCTATTGGGGCATGGAGGACTTTCAGAGAAGCAGCTTGATAGCCTGCCTCTGCCTCCCAGCCCTAGTATTCTTTGGCGGTCTCCCATCCAAATACTTGCCAGGGTTGGTCCTGCTTAGCTTCCAAGATCTGACGAGAACAGGCTTCTCTAGGCTATCCAGGTCGGCACTACACACTGCATTCTTGAGAACGTTCATTTCTGGCAAAGGCATCATTCTTGTTTGTCAGGATTGAGACAAGATTTTCTGTAGTATAATAAGGAAGCAAAGCAATAGTGTTCTCAGACTTTTTTTTCAAGCCACTTGCATGTTATACCCAAATCCTAAACAGTCAACCATTTTCAGGAGGCTCGAGTGAGCTTGGTTTAAGTTTATAGTTGCTGTTACTTGTCATTGCATATAATTATTGTGGTGACTTTATTAGCAGGTCTCAAAAGTAGGAAAATAAACCTCTGTTTATATTCTCGTTTAGTTTAACTTTGTTGGGAAGATACTGGGACCCCAGGGCAACACTATCAAGCGGCTGCAGGAAGAAACTGGAGCAAAGATCTCTGTTCTTGGGAAGGGGTCAATGAGAGACAAGGCAAAGGTAAGGCACCTGAGGATGAATGGTAAACTGTTCCTGTGAATGTTTTTCTCAGTATGAATCTGCACTAGATGGTACATAGCCTTCAGGTACATTATACCATGACATAGTGAAAATGTGGTTTCCCTCTCAGAAAAGCTAGTAAAGACTTCATAGTTTGCAGAACTTCTGATTCTTATCACAACAAAGATTGTATCTTATTACTCTGCTCTGCATTGCACTGCAAGAAGACTCTGCTGTTAGAATGGAATTGTAGGTTCCAGTCCATAACATCAAGGACTGACGTTTTATACATTGTGTTCAGACACCTGTGAACTGAAGTCTTCAGAGAACCATTTCTCTGTTAAGTTCTTGCTGCTTTACCTCCATCCTTTTTTGAGAATTGCTTATTTATGTCCCACCTTTGGTATAACACCATCAAAGCACCTTATTTTATTTATTTTCCCATTTATATCGTGCCTATCTCGCAAGCCAGTGAAGTGAATTAGGCTGAGAGTGTGTGGCTCAGTGAATGGCCAGCGCAAAAGGGTCTTGTAGAGCAAGTTCTGCCACAACTTCATGTTGTGTCACAAACAGCAGTAAAGCTTACCTTGGCCAAACAGTTGTAAAAGCTGTAAAAGCCCAGTAAAAATGTTTACGATGTGAAGGGCTCTTGGCTGCCTCAGCTTTCTCTGAAGTCTGTTTCAGGGGTGAGAGCTGTGCTTCTACCTGCTAGTTTGAAGAACATTTAAATACCCTGTCCCAGTTTTAAGTTAATCTTCTGTTGAGGGAGCTGTAGACTTGGCACATGGCTGTATTTACTGGCAAGCTCTGAACAGATGCGCCTTTTCTGCCTTTTTGGAATGAATGAAATATTTTTAAGGCATGATATTACTCTAAATGTGGAGCATGAAAAAAAATTCTATAAGGTAGACTACAGCTTTATATAATAGAAATTCCTGAAATACTTTTGACGTAACATATCATTAATAATATGTTTATTTTTTAAATGTGGATTTTGGTATAAATATGCTATAATGTGTTCAATGGTAATACATTATTAAAGAGTTTATCATTTGAGTGCTATAAAGTTTAACTTGATATCCAAAAATAATGCTGGTAGTCCTAGATATCGAGACAGTATGAGAGTGTTTCTGTCCAAATAATATATTTTATTTTGTTTACTGTGTCTGCTTTCAATCTTCATCTTTTCCATCTCTCAGGTGGTAAAAATTAAAATATGTTTGGAATTTTTATTATAGAAATTTAAGATATTTATACTTTTAAATTCCATAAATATGCCAAACAGTACAACTTGATTTATAGCTTATTAATATTTAAGCATTTTATGTTGGTAAATTAGTAAAATAATAGGTTTGGTTGCAAAATAAATATTCTATTTCAGCTTTTCCAAAAGCTTCCATTGTTTTCTGAGGGAAACCCCCCCCCCCTTTTCCCCCATGGCTTCAAAATTTCTTGAAGTTTTACATCTCTAACAGGGCAGCAGCTTCAGATCTTAGGACAGCTGTGGACTTCTGAGTGGCCATAGATGAGTCATTCTGTCCATCTAAAAATTAGAATTGTTTCATTGTATGACAGTAAAAGCAAAAATTTTCCTTGATCATTCAAGGCAGAAGGAAGTGAAGCTAAATAAAAAATAGTTTCAGCATTTGTGAAACATAATCCAGGTCATATTTTTAAAGTTTAGTCTTTCAACTAGTACAAAGTATTGAATTTCTGCATTTGCTTGACAGAAATTCTGAAAGGCTGATAATTGCAGCTTTAAATCTGAAACATAAATTTGGCCATCTAAGAATCATATGTGGATAAAAATGATGTCTTTTTTTAAAAAAAGCTCTTGCCATTATTAAATTGTGTTTCAGGAAGAGGAATTGCGCAAAGGAGGTGATCCGAAGTATGCTCACTTAAATATGGACCTGCATGTCTTCATTGAAGTCTTTGGGCCACCTTGCGAGGCCTATGCTCTAATGGCCCATGCCATGGAAGAGGTCAAGAAGTTCCTTGTTCCAGTATGTAACCCTCTTTCTGATCAATCTGAGAAATAGGTTTGGTCCAGACAAGTTTTGTTACATGCATGCAAAGTGGTGGTAAAGTAAAGGAGACTGAGAACATAGCATGTGAAGGACTCTTCTCCTAACATCTAGTTCAACTTGGTTTATTTACATAAGTAGGAATGGGGAAGGATGTGGGTTTGATTTTAGTTCCTGTTTAGGCAGCGCTTAGATCTTGCAAACAGTGGCTTGATTTAAAGTGCAGTTAGCTGGGATGTTCAAATGCCCCCCTTCCAACAACTCTTTGCTTTGGAGTGATAAATTGGAATTCTTAATTGATTTAACTGTACCTTGTACTAACTGGGACATTGTTTTATCTAAATTTGGAACAAACAGATTTTTATGGATCCAGGAATAGAGTTGGTGGCTTAGAGTGGTCGACCCCTGGCTGCTTCTGAGGCATTGGCTACTGCTTCCCCAACTTGCCTCCAAGCCTTATCACTGTGCCCACTTCTCTGTTAGCACTGACTCAGAAACCATTACTGTGTGGCTCAAGCCTTTTCCTGTGGGACAAAAGGAACTCATTTCTGTGCTTTTGCCGAGTTTGCCATCATAGACACTGCAGCTTGTTTCCAAAAACATTCCACACCTTTCTCCCTTGAGTGACTGTAGAACAAAGTTTGAGTCCAGTGGCACCTTTAAGACCAACAGAGTTTTATTGAAGGTATGAGCTTTCATGTGCATGCAAGCTCATACCTTGAATAAAACTTCGTTGGTCTTAAAGGTGCCACTGGACTCAAACTTTGTTCTACTGCTTCATACCAACACAGCTGCCTGCCTGAACTAGCTGTGATCATGTGTTTTTTCCCTTTTTTCATTTTTATTTTATATTTAGCAATATACAAACCAGAATATAGCAATGATGAGATAAAAAGCAAATGTTACAACAAACACCACTTAATATTCAAATAACATAGAGGGCATTAATTTGCACAAGAACTAGTCTTTCTGTGCTTTTGACAGGTAAGTCACTTAAGTAACCTCAATGCATACAGACACAAAGAGACAATGAACACCAATTAACAAAGAGTGTATCACAAGGGAGGCAGTATAGCCAGGTTAGTAGCAATATTAACCGATGAGCATTCAGAAACAGAGCCAGTGATGATCTTTAACAAAGGAGGGGACCACCTCTTTTTCTGAGAGAAACTGAATTATTTGAAACCACTTATTTTATTTTTAAAAAATTGGAAGTTAATATTGAAAACCTTTGATTTGCTCGAAGGGGCTTGCCAGACCTGTTGCCAAAATGAGTCTGGAAGTTCTCTATCAAGATCCTCTTGCCATTTTTTTTTTGTCAATTTAATCTTCCAATATTTAGATTTTTGAGCAAGATTTGCTGTAACAAGGAACCCAAACCCTTTGATTCACCATCATAGTTTTTGAACTCAGTCAATTGAGTAAAAGATTTGCCTGTTCAGATAAGTTTCTCTATGAGGTCTCTAGCTTGAAAATACCTAAACCAGTGAACTCCGATTTGAGCTTTTCTCTCCAGGAGATCCTTCTCCATAATTTTCCCTTTATGCATCCAGTCTGTTGGACGGGCTATTCCCGCATTAAGCCATTCTCACGTGGAATGGTGATCTTTTCCTGATACAGACCAGTCCTTGTTTGTCAAGACTGCTACTGGAGAGTTTTTCTGTAGATGTGTTTTCCTACGATCCCAAATTTTCAGAGAGGTAGAAGGAATTGTTTTTAATATTGGGGGGGGGGGGGTCTGTTGGCTGTTCTTGCCCAGATAGTTTCTTGTATTGTGAAGGGAGACAAATTTGATTGCTCTATTTGTATCCATTTTTCCTCTGAATCTTTGTGTAGCATTTTTAATATTTGGGCTAGATTTGCTGCGTGATCAGGGAAAGCTAACCCACCAAACTTTGGAGATCTGCTCAGGAGAATCTTGCTTACCCTGGGTTTTCTATAGGCCCAGAAAAAAAACTATTGATTGTTTTTTGCCATGTTCTGAACGATGCATCCATTATCTCTATTGGCAGAGTTCTAAATAGAAATGTGAATTTGGGTAGAATAAAGCTTTTGATTAGATGCGATCTATCTGACCAAGACAGTTTGAGTTTATTCCATTCCTGCAGTTGAGCACTTACTTCCTTGTATACTTTGCCGAAATTATGCTTGTGGAGTGTGTTTAAGTCAAGAAGAATGAAGGCTCCCAGGTGACGCCAAACTGTTGTAATCCAGTTAAACTTTTTTGTGTGGGCTCAGAGGAGAGATTTGTTGGGTATATGTCAAACTTACTTTGGTTGACTTTCAGTCCAGAGATCTGACTAAATTGTTTTAATTTGTTGTGCAAAAAATTTAGAGAACTTGTTGGGTTTGAGAGATAAAGAACCAGGCCGTCAGCATAAAGGGCGATTTTATGTTCAGATTCCCCAATTCTTATTCTGGATATGTTTTTATATTTTCTTATTGCTTCTGCTAGTGGCTCTATCGCAATAGCAAATAGGAGTTGGGGAGAGTGGGCATCCCTGGCGGTTTCCCCTGTGTTTGTATAGCGGTTCCACGGAGTCAAAGGCCTTTGCCATGTCTAAGCTGAGGATCAAGGCTTCTTTCTGTTTACCCTTACAGTAGTTAACTATGTTGAGCGTTCTTCAGATGTTATCAGCTATATTTCTTTGGGTATAAACCCAGTTTGGTCTCCCTTGACATAGTAGGCCACTATTTTTTTCAGCCTGTTAGCTAGCACTGACGTAAACACCTTGTAATCTTGGTTTAACAGGGCGATAGGTCTGTATGAGGATGGTTGAGATGGATCTTTGTTTTCTTTTGGGATAGGGATTGACAAAGCAGGGGACCAAGAAGGTGGCATTATCCCGCTCATTATGATGTTGCAGACTTCTGTCAGAGGTTTGGCTAGGACCGGGATGAAGGCTTTATAAAAATCAGAGGTGAAACCGTCATTCCCCAGGGCCATGTTATTTTTTAGCCCTTTGACGGTGTCTCTCATTTCTTGTTCAGAGATTGGGTTGTGTAGCATTTGTTTTATGTTGTTCTGAAAGTTGCTGTGAGGAGGTTAAAAAGCTTTGGATATTATCAGGGCTTGGGTTAGTGGACGAGTACAGATTTAAAAAGAGAGCATAATTTCAGCGATCTTCCTAGGGGAAGATCTTAGTGCACCCGTCTTGTCTCTCATTTGGGTAATGTTTGATTTTAACCTTTTATCCTTTACTCTCCAAGCAAGCAGTTTTAGAGATTTTGGGGAGTTCTGCCAATACTATTGCTTGGTGTAAAGAAGATTTTTTTTGGATTTGGGAGATCTCTGCTGATTCAAGTAACTTTCTTTCAGCTAATAACTCTTTGTAGACTTTCTTACTTCCGGTCCTCTTATAGTCTTGTTCAAGCTGTTTGGTTTTTGCCATGGATTCTGCTATAATCTTTCCCCCCCCCCCCCCCCCTTTTTTTTAGGTGTGTTGACAGAGCAATTATCTTGCATCTGAGCACCGACTTCATGGCATCCCAGATTATATGAGTTGCTACCTCTGGCATGTTGTTGAGAAAATATTCCTGAATTTCTTTGTTTATCTTCTCTTTAGTAGATTCCCTTATTAGAAATAACTTGTTAAAAGACCATCTGTATTCTGAAGTTTTTTCCTGTTTAACATTTATTGAGCCGTGCAGCCATGCGTGGTCTGTTAGTATTTTAGGACCTATTTCTATTGAGTTGAGTTGATCTAAGAGAGATGGGGAGGTTAGGATGTAATCAATCCTGGAGTATGTTTGATGTGGGGCTGAATAAAATGTGAAATCCTTAGTGGATTGGTTTTTTACCCTCCACACGTCCATTAATTGAAATTTGTCAAGCAAGCCAGCTAACGAATTTTTGGAATTTTTGCTCCCCTTTAGGCCTAATTTTTTATGGGAGGGTCTATCTAGGGTTTTTTCTGAGATATAATTCAGGTCCCCTCCAAGAATTAATTCTCCATCCTGAAAAATATGAAGTCTTTTGAAAGTGTCCTCCAGAAATGAAATTTGTGCTGTATTTGGGGCGTACACTGATGCTAGTGTCATTTTTGTAGTGCCGAGGATTCCCTTCACAAAAAGGAAGCGTCCCCTGTCATCAGAAATCATGTCCTCATGTACAAATTTGACTTGTTTAGAGATCAAGATTGCCACGCCCCGGGCTTTGGAGGAACCCGTGGCTTGATATTGATGAGAGAACCAGTTTGATTTGAAGAAAGGGATATCTTTAGATTTGGCATGTGTTTCTAATATAAACACAAGATCTGGTTTCAGCCATTTCATGTGAGATATTACTCTAGCTCTTTTAATATTGTTGTTCAAACTCTTGATGTTGACTTAGTTTGAGGACAGACATGGTTATGCAGTTCCAAGGTTCTTACTTTTTGTTTTCCAAAGTTAGGGTGCCTCTATGTATTTTGTATAACTAGTACACTTGGGTATATCTATGTATCTTTATCTATATATCACTTAAAGAGAGTGAAGAAACAGAGAACAATAAACCATGAACTTTAAACACTAAACCAATTCAATTATAGAAGCAATGCCAACTCACTATCTAAACCAACTAACCCAAACAACTGCTGCTCAGTTGAAACTGCCTATTTCCATCTTTGTTTTCCCCCTCTTAATTTTTTTTACTTCTTCTTTTTTCTTATTTATTATTGTTATTTTATTATTGTTGTTGTTATTATTGTTATTGTTATTTCAAAGAAGGAAAATGTTTAAGGAATGCTATGAGATTGAGTAGACAGGAAGGGGGAAGGATGAAAGCAGACAAAATTGGAATGTGGCTGGCAGGTAGCTTTGCCAAGAGTGCCCCCAAAATCTCCAGCAAATAGTGAGTTTGTTTATTTATATTTTATTTATTTATTAGATTTTTTACTCCGCCCTCCCTGCAAGGCCGGCTCAGATATATGCAGATATAGCAATATGTTGCCAGTAGTCAGTCAATATGAAGATGCTCCAAACAGCATTTTGGGATTTTGATAGGAGTTGAGAAAGGAGACAGGCAGCAAACCGGACCTCTAGTAGACTAACCAGTGCTTGTACAATAAATTGCTTAAGACAAGACATTATTGTCATGTCAGAATACACCCTCAGCTTGGATATTTTTAGTTTCCAGTTATGGTATTTTATTTTTTTATTCATACTAGCTGTCTTGATACTTTTGATAGAATAGTAGCTGTTAAGTATTTTGACTAAATATTAAATCTCACCACCAGTCACACACCAGGATTGGAAAGAAGGCTTCAGAACTAGAGTTGGTTGGTGTAAGTTCACATCCTACAAAGAATTATCTGATAATGGTCACCTGAAAGATTCTGAACCAGTTTCAGTGCCTGGCCTCCCCTGATTACTGGATCAGAATATCTACTCTAAACTGCAGACCTCTGTGTTTATTGAATGTGCTGAATGAGAGCTACGTAGTTATTCTCTTTGGAAAAGAGGCTTCAGAGAGAAACTAGGCTTTGCACTGTTTTGAAAGATAAGAGCTATTAGGTCCACGGTCTGATAGTTTGAGGAGGGTTCTGATAATGCAGATTATGTGTTGTATAAAGACAAAATGGGCAGTTTCCAATTTCCACTGCCCACTGCAGACACATACCGGTCATTCCACAGGGTGGGGTGGGGGGGTCCATTCTGCCACTAAAGTTTCCAATATACATGTTAGTACATATGTGTGAAACTTGTATTGGCAGGAAAGTTATCTTAATTACCAGTCCTATGTAGCAGGAAGAGTGGGAGCTCATTGTCTCTTCCAGCCTGATGTCTGGCACAGGGAGGCTTCTGAAGAAGGGGTATGCACTGGCTTTGTAAAACTTGTAAACTTTGCTAGCCTTTGTGTGTGTGTTTAAAATGGTTCATGTTTTAATTATATTGCTGTGTAGCAATGCTTGCAAAAGTAGTCCTTGCAAAGCCACCTGTGTCTCCTGGTCAGCGAAAGCCCCTTTGGCAGGAAACCTGCCTTAGTAGTGTTGCTGTTTCAATCCTGAAGAATCCCCTTGGAGCAATTGGTATTGCTAGCTGTGTTAGCTCCTAGCAAGTGTGGGGCAGAATGCTTGCTCCTCAGTTGTTGGAACATTGTTCTCACTGCCTGAAGTGGCACCCCCTGGGGAGAGCAAAATGTATGGAGCAGAGATAGAGAGGGGCAATTTGGGTTGACTGGTGGTGGTTGTCTTTGGACTGAATCCAGTTCCTGTCTCCAGTGAGTAGGAAGAATAAGTTCGTACTGTCAAGGGAGGCCAAGTTTTTGATTAGCAGGGAGTTTGCTTGCTCTGAAAGACCACAAAAAATGTTTTGTGGTGGCTTTTGTGTCTTAGGGAGCCCCTGTACATAGCAGTCACTTCTTCTCCCCCCCCCCCCACCTGTAGCTAGCAGAACAAAATACTGCTGCAAATGAGAGAAAAGTTTTCCTTGCCTTGGAAGTGAATTCCCTCTTTGTTCCTTAGGATATGATGGATGACATCTGCCAGGAACAGTTTTTAGAGCTGTCCTATCTTAACGGAGTGCCAGAACCAACACGTGGCCGGGGGCTTCCTGTGCGAGGAAGAGGGGCTGTGCCTCCCCCTCCTCCTGTTCCAAGGTAAACAAGTGCAAATCTTGTTGGAGATAAGAGGGTGGCAGTCAGTCTTGAAGCATTACATCTGTGCTAGTTCGAAGAGGTGAGATTTGCAGTACAGACTTGAAAGGGTTTTTTTAGAAGAGAAGAAGAAGAGATTGGATTTATACCCTGCCCTTCCCCTCCCCACAACAGACACCCTGTGAGGTAGGTGGGGCTGAGAGAGCTCTGACAGAAACTGCTCTTTTTCAAGAACAGCTGTGCCAGAACTATGGCTTGCCCAAGGTCATCCAGCAGGTGCAAGTGGAGGAGTGGGGAATCAAACCCGCGCACTTAACCACTACATCAAACTGACTTTAATTAGCATGTACAGTTGGGGTAGCCTCTCTAAAATGGTGAGGCAATAGAAAAATCCTAGTGCATTGGCTAGAATGTCCCATTTTGTTTATTGTCATAACTCACTATATGTAATCCACATAGAGTCCCTGTGAGAAAGGAGGACAATAAATAACATAAATATGTTTTTTTTAGTCTTGATACCTTCTTGTACTGGAAGGCCACATTCCCCTTGCCATGCAGCTGGCTACCTGGTGGGGGGGAGGGGTTCAACATGATGCTGCTGCCCACCATGGGTTCTCATTAACTACAGATCAGCTTTAGTTGTTCTCATCCTATAATCATATGGTCTGGGTATTCTGCACCATGAAAGTGCAAAATCTGACCTTCAAAATATTGCCTTTCGTTTAAGAAAATTGTCCTCTTAGGTGGGTCAGTTTTATCGATTGTTTTCGATCTATGTACTGGAAAGGCATATGTTTGTTATTGTATTTCTATATTTGAAAACTGCTTTGTGAAAGTTATTTTGAAAAATAATAAAAAACAATGAACAAAAAAAAGAAAAGAAAATTGTCCTCATTGTCTCAAGAGAGGGACTTGAATATCAGCTTCATGTTTTCAAGCTTCCCAGAAACCAGAGGATCTTCTTTGTGGTCTCTGTGCAGTCCCACACATGGGGTTGGGCACCTGCGCATGAGCTGACCAGAGAAACTCCTCAAAATCCTTTTGCCGGGTTCCCTTCCCACTCTGAGGAGCAGGCACGCACTGCGCATGCCTGGAGCGGGGAAGAGAGCCGCCTCCCACTCAGTTCTTCTTCAACCACCTTTGTGTTCATTCCTCTCCTTGTTGTCTCTTCGCTTCACCTTGGCTAAGTCCCTTACTTTGTCCTAACTTTTCCTTTCTCTTTTCCTCTTCGGACTTTTCCTTCTTCGTCTTCACCCTAAAGAAAAAATTTACTTCACTTCTCTTTTTCCTCATCCCTTCCCTTTTGGTCAGGGAGTTGTGCGTATGGGCCGAACTCTCTTTTTTAAGGAGTCTTGCCGCCGTCCTGCTAAGCTCCCCTCAAACAATGGGCACAATTTGTCTAATTTGTCTTGGGAAACAGCACCAAGCTGACACCTACCCTCACTGCCAAGTTCACTAAGCAGGTCCGACATAATCGAGTGGCATGCCTCGAAGCTGTGCTTTTAAAAGCAGCGCTTCGCCCAGGAATGTCTTTAGTGGCCTCTTATTCCTCTTCAGTGCCTGCTCAGAAGCCTTCTGACCCAGTAGTTCTGTCTAAGCCACTGAACAAGCCGTATAAATCCAAGAAAATGGAGACTGCTGAAGCTTCAACCTCGAAATCGAAAGGTCAGGTTCGGCTCCAGCTCCTACACTCGAACCCGTCATCATTTCAGGTATCTCAACATTGACCCTGGTAGCTCGCCCGGCGTCTACAGTGCCTCCAAAGACCCACCTGTGTTGACTCTGGCTCTCTAAATCTCTGCCTTCCCATTATATTTCAATCTCAGTCTGGAAATGCTGGTCTGTCTCCAGAGACTCCTGTTCTCCTCTCCACCTGTTGGATGACAGGAAACAGTTCTTGTGGAGCCAGTCATGCTCTCCTCGCTCACACTAGGGACCGCAGGGAGCGTAGGCGCTATCATTCTACCTCAAGATCCCAGTCCCAATCTTGGGAATTCTGGTCTCCTTGGAGGGCTCAACACTCTACTCTTCACCCCTCCTACTCTAGATCGCTGACGCCACGCTATTATCGCCACTCTGTTCACAGTGAGTGCACACCTCCTCGTCATGCCAGCCTTTGATCTTGTAGTGCCCACTCGCCCTCTTATGCATCTGTACATTCTTTGGACTTACATGCTCCAATTCCAGATGCTTCAAATGCTTGGGATCCAGGCCCTAAGGCTCCTTCTGGTCTTCCAGATCAGTCGATTTCTACAATTCATGATCAGTCTAAGATTTTTGCTCAGCTTGCTCCACTGCCCTTATCAATCTCTTCGGATACTGATTCTGGTCACTCTGACGCTAGCGGCATGGACACTAAGGTGATCCCTCAAGATGATGATCTCATGTGTACGGAGTCCCTTTCTCCCACCAAGGGTCCCAAGGCTTACTTAGAACTCATCACCAGGTTGTCTACTATTCAGGTGCAGGGTGCTACTGATATGTCCACGGTTACAGACATTGTCCACAAGTTGGTGCGAGCTGAGCTACCTCCATTTACCATCCTTCCCCTTCTTCCTGTGCATTTGTCAGTGTTGAAGGATTCCTGGGACCTTCTGCCTTGATTTCTCTTGTCTCCAAATGCTACGAGGCACTGTATAAGGTTCAGAAATCTTAGGGTAAATTCTTATTCAATCATCCCCCACTGAATTCGATGATTGTCCACTCTTCTTCGAAATCGAAATTACCCCGACAGTTGGTTCCCCCAGATCGGGAAGGCCGCAAGGTTGACTCCCTTGCTAAGAAGATCTATGCCGTCTCTTCTATTAATGCACGCATCGATACTTACCTTTCCTACCTGGCTGTCTATGCTTTCAATGTGGCCTCCGCTGTGAGACCTGTCTTAGATGCGGTGCCAGAAGATGCTTGGCCTACTCTTTCTGCTGTGCTTTCTGAAATCTGTGCAGTTTCCAAACAGCAAATTACCTCATTACATCATGCTGCCACCTGCTCCTCCAAGACTTTGGCTTCTTCTATCGCTCTTTGTCGCCACACTTGGCTGCGATCAACTTCCCTGCAACCTGATATCAAGTCTATAATTGAAGACTTGCCTTTGGATGGAGAAGGTCTCTTCCATGCTTCCACCGATGACACCTTGAAGATGGTTGACGATGGCTGCAAGAAGGCACAGAATCTGAGAGTCTTTTACTCAACCCTGCAGCGTCCTCAGTCTCGTCAATGGAAGCCTTACTACTCCAAAGATCAGCCTTCTCCTGCAACACTTACTACATGGAAGCGCAAATCCTTTGATTCTCGCCAACCATTCTCTTTGAAATTGAAAACTCAGGCACCTAAACAGTCCCATCAACCCAAACAGTCTGTTTGACCATCTCACTCACAGAATGCCTCCTCCTCCTCTTTCTTTCACCCCACCGATCGGCATCTGCCTTCTTCCCCATTTTGCTGCCTGGGAAGAGTTTACCACCGATAATTGGGTCCTGACCATCATCTTGGTGGGATACGCCATAAAGTTCATTTTGCTTCCAGCCTTCCATCATTTCATCGCCACTCCACCTTCACCATCGCTGCTGGCAGAAGTCAGCACTCTTCTCCTCAAGGGAGCTATCAAGACTGTTCCAGAAGCGCAGCAGCCTCTCGGGTTCTACTCCCGATACTTCACCATCCCCAAAAGAGATGGAGACGTTCAAGTGATTATGGATCTCCAAGACTTGAACCCATTCGTCTGCTACAAAAAATTCCACATGATCACCCTTCAATCTATTCTTCCTCTCCTACTGAAGGATGGATGGTTAGCAGCCATCGACCTTCACAATGCTTATTTCCACATTGCCATCCGACCTCAGCATCGAAAATTTCTTCGGTTTGCAATTGGTACATATCATTACCAATATTGGGTTCGTCCCTTCAGCCTTTCCACTGCTCCTCGAGTTTTTACCAAGACGATGGCTGTTGTGGCAGGGGAACTACACCAACAGAGAATCATTCTTTATCCATCTATAGACGACTGGCTTTTGGTGGCATCTTTGAGGACACAGTTCCTCACACATCTCCACAATTCTCTTATCCTTCTTCACTGCCTCGGTCTTTGTGTCACCTTCCCAAAGTCTTTATTGGAGCCAATGCAGTTCCTGGGGGCTCTTCTTGATCCCAGACAGAAGATGGCGCTCCTCCCACAGACTCATGCAAGTTCCATCGTCACCCTTGCTTTGGCTTTCATCCATCGTCCTCCCCAATCCGCTTGATCGATAATGAAGCTTTTGGGCTTCTTCGCCTCAATTATTTTTATTGTCCTGAATGCCTGTCTTTGAATGAGACATCTACAGTTATGGTTTCTTCTCTCCTTCAAATTGCAACACCATTCCTTGGAGAGAATTCTCCTCATTCCTCCGGATGTTCTCTTTTCCCTTCGATGGTGGTCCCTTCAGACAAATCTCTTCTGCAGCATGCCCATTTGACATCCTTCTCCAGAGGTCCGTGTATCCACAGAGGCCTTGCTCTGGGGTTGGGGAGCCCAGTGCCGGACTCTGACTGCTCAGGCTACTTGGTTGAGAGATTCATTTCCACATCAACTGCCTCGAGCTCATTGCTGTCCATTGGGCCCTCAAGTCTTTTCATCAGGCAGTGGTCAGCAGGACTGCGCAAATAGCCTCCAACAATGTTGCTACAGTATTCTGTATCAACAAGCAAGGGGGGACAGCTTCCAGGCAATTATGCCGCCTTGCAATCTCTTTATGGGAATGGTGCCTTCTTCATGCTGTCTCCATATCTGCAGTTCATGTACTGGGTGCCTCCAATGTCAACGGGGATCGTCTCAGTCACATGATGACCTCCAAAACGTAATGGTCTCTCCATCCCAAGTACCTTTGTCCTGTTTTCTGGGCATTTGGACACCTGGCGATAGATGGGTTTGCAACAGAGCGCAACACCCAGTGTCCCCGATACTTCACTCAGGGTCAGCCGTCTATGAGGTCTCCAGAGCACACATTCCTACAGCAGTGGACCAGCCACCTCCATTTCCACTGATTCCCAGGGTGCTGCACAAGATCCTGGCGGATGCCACTTCATGCATCCTCATCACCACGTGGTGGCCTCACCAATCCTGGTTTCCTCACCTGGTCTGCCTATCGAGGAAAGTTGTCCTCTGACTGCTTCCAGTTCTGGACCTTCTTTCCTGACATTGCAGTCAGATTCTCCATCACAATCCTGGATTCTACAAACTTACAGCTTGGAGGATCCTACAATAGTGTTCCCCCTTACTGTTTCAGAGGTGCTGTTAAATGCCCATAAGCTATCTACTTGACATACATACTGGGCAAAGTGGTCTCAATTCACAGCTTATGCCTTTTGGAACTCTTCCAGTCCTTCTGCTGCTGTTTTCTTGGATGCTTTTTCTTACATTGTTTTCCTTGAAGGACTCTGGTCTTACCTAGTCTTCACTGAAGGTTCACCTGGCACCTATTTCGGCGCATCACCCCCTGGTAGATGGCACTACTCTCTTATCCTCTCACCAGATCTTTTTTGAAGGGCGTTCTCCATATGTGCCCTCCACGGAAGCCTTTGGTCCTGACGTGGAGTCTGGTCCTTTCCGAACTGATGGATTGCCCCTTCAAATCCTTGGCCTCCATCCATCTTCGTCTACTTTCATGGAAGATGGCTTTCCTTGTTGCCATTACTACGGCTTGCTGGATGGGAGAAATGGCTGCCTTTTGGGCTGATCCCCCGTATACGATTTTCCACAAGAACAAAGTTGTTCTCCGAACCGAACCCACTTTTTTACCTATGGTGGTTTCGGCTTTTCACTTTTCAAATTCCTCTACCCTTCCTACATCTCCCCCCAATTCAGTGGACAATGTTCAGTGAGCCCTGTACTCCCTCGATGTCTGAAGGGCCCTTACTTTCTGTCTTCACAGGACCAGACTGTTCCGTAAGTCCCAAAGACTGTTTGTTGCTTACGGAATGCCACGGAAGGGGGAACACATCTCTTCCCAGAGACTATCCAAGTGGGTGATCTCTACGATCTCCTTCTGTTATGAGCTTGCAAAGCAACCCCTACCCACCTGTATCACTGTTCATTCAACAAGGGCAGTATCGACATCAACAGCCTTTCTGGGCAGTGTCCTGTTGGAGAAAGTTTGTGCAGCCGCCACATGGTCCTCCCCATCGACTTTTGTGTCTCACTAAGCCGTCAGTGTTTGAGCCCGCCAGGATGCGGTTTTTGGCTACATGGTTCTTCGATCTCTTTTCTTGTGCGCCTTCCTTCTCTTTAGGTAGGATCTCTGTTTGGTCATCTCACACTAACTCTCTTTTCTTCAAGCTGCCAGCTCCCTCTTCCGCCTGGTTCAGCTACCCATGTGTGGGACTGCACAGAGATCACAAAGGAGATAAACAGGTTGCTTACTTGTAACTGATGATCTTTGAGTGGTCTTCTGTGCAGTACCACAATCCCATCCAGTCTACCCCTCTCCTGGCATCTCTCAATCACTTACCGGGATTTTTGTTGAGATTTACCAGTAGTGGTCGAAGGAACTGAGTGGGAGGTGGCTCTCTTCCCCGCTCCAAGCATGCGCAGTGCATGCCTCCTCCCCAGAGGGGGAAGGGAGCCCGCCAAAAGGATTCTGAGGCAAGCTCTGGAAGTTTCTCCGGTGAGGTCGTGCACAGGCACCCAACCCCATGTGTGGTACTGCAGAGAAGACCACTTGAAGCAACCTGTTTATGTGAGGCATGAGGTTGGATTCAAGTTGGCAGTTTGCAACAATTCCCCCTTTACACCACAGACCCCCCCCCCATGCAGTTTCTCTGGGTCCCCTATCCCACAAGAACAGCATTTGGTAGGGAGAAGGGAGGAAACTCCCATTCTGCCATTGAACAGTTATTCTAGATACAACCTATAGTTTCCCCTGACCCAGAAGAAAGTGGTTTTAAGTGTTCTGCACTAATCCCTGCTGGGGCCATAAAATCTCTCATCTGCTTTACTGTCCAGGCACTGTGTTCATGCCTTTTCCCTTGTTCAACTTCTTTTAGTGCTTAAATCTTGAAAGCAGACTCCATTAGGTAGGGTTTCATTGCACTGATTATGGAATTTGGCCCTTGTGTTGGGCACAGAGCGATGCTGCTTCAGCAGAAATGTCACTCCCATAAATACTTGGGATAAATTTAAAAGCAGTGAAGTTCATTATTTTATCCATATCTATTCTGGGGAGTCTGTCAGCTGTCTAGAGTGACCCTAGTGGGTGCATAATCTTTCCTGCTTATTCTGAGTGTCCTGTGTGGCCATTTCTGACTCTGCTTTAGTCCCTTAAAGAGCAAGGTTGCTCAGAGTGAATTTTGTCAGGCATCTCTGCTGATTAAACCTCTGTTGGTCAGAGCATTAATGTGGGCTAACTTGTGTGCCAGATTACTCTCTCCCCTGCCTCAAATTTGTAGGGGACGTGGCGTGGGACCTCCGCCACCACCTCCACGTGGAGCCCTGGTACGAGGGGCCCCAGTGAGGGGTGCCATTGCGAGAGGAGCAGCTGTTGCCCGTGGTGTTCCTCCTCTTCCAGCGGTGAGAGGCGCCCCTACCCCAAGAGCTCGTGCAGCAGGCATTCAAAGAATACCTCTTCCTCCCCCTCCTGCACCAGAGGCTTACGAAGATTATGTAAGCAATTATGTAATGCATGTTTCAGAACATGGCAGGACCCCGAGTGCATGAAAAGTTCCCTTGACCAGTCCGACAGAAACACAAAACATCAAACAAATCAGAAGGATGGCATTTGATTGAAAAATTCCATTAAAACCCTGTATGGTTGTATTTACCGTTGATAACCTACAGCTACTTCTTGTAATTGATACCTTTGGATCTGCCTGCTGTAAAAAGTAACTGCCCTTGAGAATGGATTGGGCTTACTTGCTGCCTTGCTGGCAGTATTAAACTGAAGCAAGGGAGAGAAGAGCAGACTTCATTTGACATTTTCCTGCTAAAAAATTACTGCAGTAAGATTAGATGAAAGCTCTAGGAAAAGACTGCTTAAGGCTGGCCCATTTGCAGATGACAAAAACAACACAATGGGGCCATCCAAAAGCTAGGGGTGTCAGCATACTCCAAGGACTCCCCAGGTTTGCAGCAAAATAGGTTTGTAAATTGACCCAAAGGAGAAGTAGTACCAGACAGGACAAAATGTTCAGGACATCATCCTGTCTGCTCAAGCCCTTGAAAGCTTAGAAGAATACTGGAAGGGAAGTTTCAAAGGGTTAGAGACAGTTTCTAAATTCTGTCTTATGGTGACAACTGCACAGTTTGTCATGGGTCCACAATTTGTAAACAGAAGAGCCATTTCATATATTGAGTGGCAAAAACACCATCAGTCAAGATGTTGTGACAGTTGTAAAAAACAGGTCTACACCCCAAGGTAAACCACAAAAAAAGGAGAAAGATTGGATGGGTGCAGGGAAGTCTTACATTTTTTGGCACCAATACAGTTATTCTCTCCCCCCCCCCCGTGATTCTGAAAGGTGTTTCTGTACCATAGTTTATTACATTCACACATGGGGGGGGGGTTATATGTACACTTAATATTTTGTGTGTGTGTATTTAAATGTGTGAAACATTCTTAAAGCTGTTACTTGGACAGCCATCTACATGCAAGATAGAACAGTAGGGGGGGGTTGCCACCTTCCCCCAAATTTCTTGGCTTACGCTATGTAGAAAAGTCACCCTGTCCTTCCAGATTGTATTCTTCTTTGCTGTTATGCCTTTAGGGTAGTGACTTCCTCCTAACCTCTTTGTTCGTTTCAGGGCTATGACGATGCTTACGCGGAGCAAAGCTATGAAGGGTATGAAGGCTACTACAGTCAGGGTCAACAGTAAGTGATCCAGTGGAGGGCCTGATGTCTTCATGCTAACAAATATTTGAGATGCACAGAGCATTTTGGTCTCTGCTGCAGGGTTGTGTGCACCATGATGGAATAGCCGGTTTTCCCTGGACCAGGGAAGGCAACATCAAATGGTGCTTGGAGAACTGCAGCAGAGGGACTTCTCACTGTCACTGAGCAGCCACTGAGCTCCATCTGCTCCACTGAGCCTTTGTGTCTCTTCCTGATGAGACTCACAGCTAGCCTTTCTACAGCATCTCCCTTGTCCCGTTGCTTTGAGATTTACACTTGAAAGACTCATAGTGTAATCCATCCCAAGCATTGACTTCCCCCAACCACCCACAACCTTTCCCATAAAAATTTGCTGTACAATTTTTCCTTTCATGTACCTGTCTGAGAAAGTGGGCTGTGACTCACAAAAGCTCACATTGAAATGAATGTTGTTAGTCTCTAGGGTGCCACTGAACTTCTGTTGTATTTTCTTCCCAGTACCATTGTCACTAGGGGTGTGCAGGGGGGAAAAATTGTTTGGTTTTTTTCCGAATTCGGATATATTGAACTCGGTTTTTTTCGGGAAATCCGAAAAACCCCGAATACCAATACCAGTATTGTATAGGTATTTAAAAAATTTCGGATATCTGAAAGAATTCAGGTCTATTATATTCTATGGGGCCATTGTCTCCCCAAGAGTCTCTCTGTAAGAAAGCAAGTGAGGTGTGGTGATGGTGTGAGGGGGCATGTTTCCCATGCCAGCAGCATAACCTGTGCAATGTGCCCCCCAGAACCAGTGCCACTGTGCCAGTCAGTGCCCAATCCCAACTGGACTCAGTTCAGATCAGAGAATCTCTGCCATATAAACTGAGGGAGCATGTTTGCCAGGCCATCAGCAGCAGAACCAGTGCAATGTGGCAGCCCCCAGAACCTGTGCCACTGTGGCAGTCAGTGCCTAAACCCAGTACAACTCAAGACAAAACAGAGGACCTCTGCAGCATAAACTGAGGGAGCATGTTTGCCAGACCAGCAGCAGCAGAACTGGTGCAATGTGGCCCCCAGAACCAGTGCCAAACCCAACAGAACACAGGTCAAATAGGAGAATCTCTGCAGCAGAACCTGAGGGGGCAGAACCTGTGCAAGTTAGTAATCACCACAAGAAGCCTTGTCCACTAATGCCTCAGAAAGTGAGAGGGAGGGGTTAGTGTCTATCTGTCCACTGATCCTCCTTTCTCGCAGCAGTACACCCAACACCAACCATCACTGCCTGCCTCGGAGGAGGTTTAGCTTAGGTGCGGCAGCTACCCTTCATCACAGGCTCTCCCTCCCTTTCCTACCTCACCCTTGCAAAAGAAAATTATTTTTCAATAAACAACATTCATTTACATTCATTATTTATGGTGCTCCTGTGGGTTCTGCTGGTTTCTGGCTGCTTGGCCTTACTCTACGTTGTTCAAATGGAAAACAGTTTTTGTGCTGCTGTTTCAATTTCAGCATGCAATTTTGTTTTGGGGTGGTTGGCAGTGTAATTTAGGTGCATACAGGCACCACCTTCAACATCACCCTCCACTGCACGGCTACCAGGGTTCTGTGGAGGTATTTTTGCTGCAGGTGGGATGGATGGAAGTGGGGAGATTGGTGGGGCATTTCTGTGCCAATCAAACTGGTAATGGCCCTGGCTGCTACTTCTCCCTAGCCTCTCTAGGGAAGAGTGTTGTAACCCAGCTTCCCAGCACGGGCCAAGAGGGGATGCAGGCACAAGTATGCGTGCTCACTTCAATCACTCTCAAAGTCTAGGACCGGGAAACCAAACAGTGGCAAGTTGACCTTCAGGAAGACCAACTGCTCAACTGACCAGGGGAGCAGGTGTGAGTGATGCGAGCAGACAATGTCGCCTGCATTGGGGGGAAACGCACTCACTCTGCACGCTTGTCAGAGGGCATGAGAGGAGCTTCTGGGCCACGGGATAGACGTCCAGCCAGACCACTGCCTTCATGGCTCAGTAACTCAGTGGACAGGTTGCCTGCGACTCGTAGGGTTCCACAAGGTACTCCCTCACCATTGCAGCTGCTGTGTCCTCTCTTGTGCACCTGCCGCTCCCAGGAGAGGGGCCAAAGATCCGCCTGATGACTGCCATCTCAACACTTGTCGTATCGGGAGCCATGGGGGGGGGGAGACACTGGCTAGCAGGGGAGGTGGGGGGTGAACAGCAGTGGAGCTGGCCCCCCCCCCCCCCCAGCTTGTGGCAACGTGGCCCACATGCGCTCAACTCACCAGGAGAGCTTGTCTCGCCATTGAGTGAACTCATTGGCCCTCTCCGCGATCCTGCCCTTGATGCGCGGGTCACACATGGTCACCATTATGTAGACCTTCTGCCGGAGGATAGACCAAAAGCATTCCTCAAGTCCACTTTGCAGCCTTCTCCCCAGCGTCCACACCGCTGGAGCCATGTCTGCTCGTCCTGGAGAAGGTGGGCCACACAGTAAATGTGCATCAGGACGAGTCACTTTGTCGCTGCCCTAATACCACCATTGGTCACCATGAAGCCCCTGGTGATGTCCCTGCCTACCCACCCCACTGTCTCTCGATGGTGGCCTTGATGTTGTCCACTGTGTCCACTGTGTGCGACCCATCGAGTTTCTTGATGTGGAGCAGAGCCTGGCAGTAGCCGGCCCGGTGCCCCTAACCCTGCCTGACACTAGTTTCCCCTCCCCCACCCAAAACATTGCTTGGTTGCCACCAGTTTGCAGTCAATGAAAGATAAGAATCGTGCGCCTGACAGGAGGTCCAGATGTCAGACATGAAGTGCACATATCTCCCACGAGCGCGGGACAACTGTGCCTTCACGTGGTCCCTGGCAGCCCTGTGCATCACGGTCCTGCTCAGTGTGGTGCGAGCAGGGGGTGTGTTCCAGGGATAGGCATCCTGGAGCAGCCTGAGGAAACCGATGTCTTCAGTCGTGGAGAAGAGGCAACCGTCTAGAGCAAGCATCTCAGCAATGAGGCAAGTGACCCTCTTGCTAGCCTGCTGCTTCCCCCCCTTAGGCACTAGTGCCAACGTCGCCAAACATCTCCGTCAGAGATGCTTGGCGTCCCTGCCCTGTCCCTACCACAGAATGCGCAGAGAGAGCACTGGAGGTGGTAGCAGGATGACTCACTTCCTGGCTGGCGGCGGCCACTTGGGCACCCCAGCAGCAGCCTGTCTCTCCCCCTAAAGAAGCACCGCCTGGTGGTGCTTCTTCAGATGGTTCCACAGCCTGGAGGTCGAGAGATGGCCAATGTCGTTCCCTCGATTTACCTGGGCCCTACACAACTGCCACTGTGCAAAGCGGGGATCCTCTGTCACCCGGACGTGGTTCCAGTCTTCAGAGGTGAAGGGGCACCCACGCTGACCAGTAGCCATGGGCATCCCCGGAGCTGCATCCTGTGAGGAGCTCGGGCCAGATACACCGTGACTTTGGAGGGCAGGAAGAGATGGCTGAGCAGAGGGAAGGGGTTGAGATAGGTGCTTGGGGTACATCACCATCTCTTTCTCCTCTCCCAGGCTCTTCTCCTGTCCCTCAGGAGGCCTGCTGGAGCCTAGAGAAACCGGAGCTGTGGACTGGCCAGCCAGCTCCTCCTCCAGTGCCTCTAGAACCCTCTTAGTCCGTGGAGTGAGCTCTGAAAATTGTCTCCAAAGCTCAACCCCAAAGACAGCTCTGGCTGTACCTCCTCCTGCCACTGAGGCTCAGCAGCAACAGCTTGAGGAGGGACTGCCTGAGCAGCAGACCCCTGCCCAGTGCCAGCACCTGCAGGCACCTCTGCTGGGGCCATCCCAGAAGCATTCTCAGGGAAGAGAACCAGGCATGGCTCCTTCATGGCACCACTCCGGCCTAAGGTTGGAGTGGTGCCAGGATGCTCTGTTGTAGTCCTGCGCTGAGGGGGGGGGGGAGCGAGGCTGTCCCCCTTCCCTCCACCCCTCTAGTCTTCTGCTTAGCCTTGCCCCCAGGGCCCCTCTGCGTTCCCCTCCTGTCACTCATGTTGCCCCTGGCCAAACTCAGCCTAACTTGTGGGGAGGGTATTAGGCACCTAACTTACCTGCACTATCACTTGATCCTAAAGCAGCCTCTCACCTTTTCATAAACCCTCCCACCCAAAAACTAGGTTTTTGTTTCTTTCAGTAGAGCCTAACCTTGCTGCAGTTTGGATTTTTGCTTTTTTTCTTGGTTTTTTTTAGAACTAGTGAATTCCTACACTGACCCTGACTATGGTTTAAAGACTATTATTGAGATGTGGCTTGGAAACCTTTTAAAAAGTGTTAGGGTTTTAAACTACTCCTATCTAGATTCTGCTGGAACCAGCCTGATTCCCTGTGGAATGCAGGAGGTGCTCCCTAATTGAAACACACAAGCTAAAGGGGAAAAGTGCCTGGCTTCACCGAAGTTCAGTCAGAGCACAAACACAGCACACTACTTTTTAAAAAGTTATATGCTACTTAAACCTCTGTTTTATGAGGTGAAGACAAATCTGGCCTCTTTGTCCTCCTAGCACTGGCCTAGTTAAAGGTAGAACAGCTAAAGCCCTATACTGAGATTTGTTTTAAAATATTAGTTAAAAATAAACCTGAAACCTTTATTAAAAGCCTACTTAACAGTGGTGCAGCAGCTAAACCAGAAGCACACACAGAGCAGTGACCCCTACGCCTAAGAAACTGAAAGCCAAAAATCCCCTCCACAAAACAACAAAACCTGCTAAAAGGCACAGTGACAGAAGAACCACTAAAAGGTAACAGAGACTAGGCCCTGAGAAGGCCTAGTAACCCCCCCCCCAAAAAAAAAAAAACCACTCACCAACAAGCCCAGCAAAGAACAAACACAAACAATACAAGGAACTTTAAAAAATTAAACCTGCAAAAGCAACAGAACCAAAGGACAAACAGGAACCAAAACCAGATAGCCTAGGCCCCAGGCAGAAGGCCTACTCACTAAACCCCCCCTCCCAGAAAAAGCTCCAACAACAAGCCAATAAAAAAATGAAGCACAGTAAAAAAAAAAAAAAATTGAATTGAAAAAACAAACGGGCTGGCAAAACCACAAACTAGAAGAACCCTCCCCCCAAAAAAAATGCAAGTAGAGGCCTATCCACCACCACACTAACCCCAGGCCCAACCCACAAGAAATAAAGAAAAGTTTTTAAAAGTGGCCCTAATATAATTTCAAACCAGTGATATCTTCAGTCTTCTTCTGTTGTTTTGATCCGAAGCCAGCAGCGCAGCAGCAGGAAACTGAGGAACGCCGGCTCAGAGCAGTGCGTGAAGCAGCAGAAGCAAGCCAGCCACTCAATCTCCAAGGCTCTCTCTCAGCAGCAGCAGGAACAGAATGGATTCAGGCTGCAGAGACCCCTGCTTTTATACTCTCTGGGCATACACAGAAGGATTTCAAAAAGGAACAAAGTTCTGTGATTGGCCAGAGAGCAGTATGCCAAATCCTATTGGCCAGTTCTCCTTCCCTGGGAAAGCTAGTACTTGGGCTTCCAGCAGCAACAACATCCTTGCAAAAAGTTGCAAGCTGCAATGGCATTTGGAAATGCATTGCAGTGATTGGCTGTCTGGTAGGTCCCTCTTCCCCCTCCCTCCTGGAAATCACAGCAAGAGGCTAAAACCAGCAGGAAAAACAAGAGACTGGCGCCCTTTAAACTTTAACACACACACACCCTGAGCCGTTTTTTGGGGGGGAACCCAAAAAAAATCCGGCATTTTTTTTTTGGCTTTCCGAAACAGCTCAGGGAAGCTGTTTCGGAATGCTGAAAAGGATTTTCTTTCCGGGGGGTGGGTGGGTGGGTTCTGGTCGGTAAATCTAAATGCACACCCCTAATTGTCACCAGCCTCCTCCTTGTCCAATTGTGGACACTGGAAGCTGCCCCTGAGTTATGCTGATATGTACCTAGTACACAGCATCACAAGAAAGCATGATTCTCATGGCTAGGGAAATGTTAGCTGGGTGGTTGGAGCACGTGATGACCCCTCGGATGGTGGGATACACTGAATAGAAATGGTAGAGATGTTTGGAAAGAAACCACTATCACTGTCTCAAGCCGTAATTGTTCCCTGTCTCTCTCTCTCTCTCTCTCTCTTTTTTGCAGGGAAACTGAATATTATGATTACGGGCATGGTGAGGCACAAGAATCCTATGAAGCATATGGTATGTCCTCAAACTTTATGGCTCTGGCAAAGGCAGGCAAAAGTTCACTTGGAAACTGTTTAGCTCTGTGTCTGTACTGGCTTCTTGTTGTTTTCTGCATTTAACACAAATGCAAAAGACAGCCCGCACTGATAGTTTTTTGAGAAGGGGGGGGGGTCTTTTTCTCCAACTGAGAACCAGCCTGCTCAGATGGCATCTCACTTTCTGTTGCTCTCGTCTGGTGCTTTCAGGGGTGATATTAGGAATATTCTGATTGTAGAAGAGTGCCATCAATACAGGTTTTAGGATTCTGTCCTGGAAATCCCAAGTGCCAGTGGCATTTGTCCTAAATTGTCATTAGGTTGACAAGAAAGGCATCTTCTTATAGCCATATAATTTATGCAGATTTGCATAATTCTACTAGTTGTGGGGAGGGAAGAAGGCTGTTATGAGGACCTAAAGCTCAAGGGAGGCTCTTCTCCTCTGAGGAAGTTTGCAGCCCATACCCAAATATAAAGGGATAGAAACTTTTATATTTGCATTTGCAAGCTGTTCTTCAGGATGCTGAATCCTACGTTGGTACAGTGCAGTCATGGAATTTTGAATATGGAATAGAATGAGGATTCTCTGTTAAATGTGAATAGATAGAGCTGTACACCCGGAGGCCACCCTTCATCCCAGAAGGGTGCAGAAATGGCAGGCTTGGTCATTCATCACAATACCCCTTGCCTCCTTGTCCTTTGGCCAGTAAGGGGTGCAGTTTTTTGCCTCTTCATAATTACTGTGACTCCTCTGGTCTGACTGTGTTGCACAGAACAAAAGCTCTGGTACACTAGGCATGACTTTGCTGCTGTTAATTAGTTCAGTCACAGCAATTTTCTTTGGTGTCTGCTTTCCCGCAGACAAAATGCGAAAAATAAATTGTATGTGCCACTGCAGGGAACAGCATTGTATGGTCCATAGCACAACTAGTGTACCTGTGGGGATTTGGCACATTTATTTTGCTGAAATTGGTTACCTATTGGGAACCAACCAGGCTGAATTGAAAGCCTGTTTCTTTGAGGCCTTATCTAGTCAAAAGAGGATGGAAATCAACAGAACCAATTTCCTTTTGTCTTGAAAGGAGCTTCCTGTATGCTCAGTTTTCCCCAAACTGTTACTCTGAATCTGTTTGTTATTTCAAGTGTTACGTTTGGGAAGAACAATTGATTCTCCCTCCAAGGATTATGTCATCTTTTCTTGCACACTTGCAGTTTCTCAGAGCAACTAAAGGTTAGGGCAATGGAGCATGAAAAGAGACAGCAAAATCCTGCTGCCAAATTTTCGTCTGGCTTTACAGAGGAAAAGGCGGCACTTTAAAAGGAAACAGCATTAAGAACTGTGAATGTGCATGTAACAGTATCAGAGTACTAACCAGGGCCAACCCTGCTTCGCTTCCGAGATCTGTCCAGAACGAGCTATCTTGGGCTGGTCCAGGACATGGTGTATTTGACACCCCAAATATACACAGTTTGGCGGTATTCTGAAATCCCTACCTCAAGGCTTTTCAGGGAGATCTAACAATGGGGTTGTGACAGCCTTTTTGTCTCAGCCCAGCATATTAAGGTACTTTTTTCCTTTCTGCAGGTCAAGATGATTGGAATGGAACCAGGCCCTCACTCAAGGCCCCCCCGGCTAGGCCAGTGAAGGGAGCATACAGAGAACACCCATACGGCCGCTATTAAAGCATTCATGAGGGGAAAATATCACATATGAGCAAACAGTTGTTTCTGATTCTTGTATCTCCCAGGATTCCTGTTGCTTTACCCACAACAGACAAGTAATTGTCTCCCTGATTTTTCTCTGAATCCCTTTTTCTCCCACCTCCATCCCTGCCACCACCGACCCTGCATTCTAGCTGCTGTACGTAGTATTTTAAAATGGGTTAGATATAGAAGACCGAATTCAATTTTTAAGTGTGTAGATTGCTTTTCTTTCTGTTTAGATATATAACACAACTGTACCTTTTTAAAAAGTTGAGTTAAATTGTTAGTTTCAAAAGTGACATGCTTGCTTACCAGTTATGAAACTAAAGTCTGTTAATCTTTAAGTATTTTGCTGGGTTTTTAGGCAACCCATGAAAGCTGTAGTGACAGAATCCCCAAAGTAGGCTACATTTCAAAATTCAGAGGTGTTTTTTTTTATGAATTAAAACTATAATGTAATAGTAATGACTGCCGCAGTTTAAAAGCAACCTCACATCAAAACTTTGCCCTTAAAAGCAGATTGCTTGATTAATCTTAAGTTTAAATGTTAATAGAGAAAATCCTTCTTAACAAATTAAACAGTAATTTTTGTTGTTGCTTTCATTTAGTATAACTAAAAAAAATTAGGTTTATAATGGTGACGTTTCCCTTATGGGTTTTGAAATCTAGCTGAGATGTAGTGGAAGAAGGTTTCCACCCAAAAAAATTGTTCTTAGATTAATTCTGTGTGAGAAACTTTTAAGAGAAGTGGACATCAAGCTGCTCTGTAATTTTTTATTGCTCTATAACTGCCCAGTGTTTTGATATTAGGAAGTATTAAATGAACAGTAGCTGTGCATTGTGTCTTTTTTTCTTTTCTTTTTTTTAAATGAAGAGCTAAACACTTGACCATGTTCGTAGTCTATAATGGAGGTCATGCTTAAAATTGGCAAAACTGTCAACGTAGCCATTCCAATGACATGTTCAAGTGTATCTCAGCACGAGCATTATGTTTAAAAAGGGACACTGCAGCTGAAAAAAGCCACCATGGAGAAAGTGAACTTCATTTTGTACATAGATCTAAGTCCTACCTGGATTTGTACACTGTCCCATTTTGTTCTTGGAAGATTAAATGCCTACTACTACGTGTGTAAGCCTGCCTAAATAGGTAGCTAAAAATTGTTGAGATGTCTGCAGCAGTTTGTCAATAAAGTTTAGTCCTTTTTTTAATCAAAGTAAATGTGATGAATTGTCATTTTCTTTTAAGTATGGTCAAGCAGTAAAAACTTTTCTTCTTTTCAATAAATTTAAATTAATGCTAAATTTCATGGTCTGTTTTAAAACAAACATTTAAAATCCAAAGATGGTTTTTAAAATGTGTTCCGAAACTTTTAAAATCTTTGCCAACATCGAATAAGTTTTATTCTTTTTTCAAAAAAAAATTTTGTTTTTCACCCCTTGGAAGTTGAGCCGTTGCCCCTGAAACTGAGCCTCAAGGAGATGTGCCCCTGTTTCCTTCAACTGAAAACTGGCAGTGTGCTGGCATTTGTTCTTCTTCCTGCTGGGGCTTACACACAGAGCCTGTGGGAAGCTGCTTCTGCACCAGCCCCTTCCAAATGAATAGGGATAAGCAAAAAGATGGCAACGTTTTTGCCCCCATTCCAAGCAGACTGCTCTCTGTACAGAGACCAAAAGACCAGAGCCAGTACGTAGTGTGATATTTGGGGAAATTCACAAAGCCTTTAATGTTGGGAGAAAAAGCAGTTTTTCCTTGTACCCCACATCCCTCTCGTCAGATGGCTGCCTGTTCTCAGAGTGGCTTTCCATTGGGGGGTTGCAAATTAATTACAAAACACACATGGTGGTTCTGCAGGCATGTTGTTGACAGTAGCCTATAGGGAAAGGTGCTTAATTCCATTTTACCAGTAGCCCACCTGCCCACACACACATCATATGTATTAATGACTGTTGCTCAAAAGGGGGAAAAATAAATCAGCCTTTCTAAAACTTCTCTGCCTGTTTGTCTGGAGGCAAGAGTATTAAGATACAAACCTGGCACAGTGGCAGAATTAACTGCTGCATAGGAAGAACAGCTTTGTTGTTTTCCTTTCTTGGCAAAATTTAAAATCAAGATATTCACTGGTAAAGAACTGCTTGGGGGTGAAAAAGAATCCTCTGTTATTGTCAAGCTGCTCATAGCAGTGCGTGGTTGAGGGAAACTACTTTTAAAAGCCAAAAAAAGAGTTGTATTTGTAGATTGTTATTTTAAAAAATGTAAATAACTGAATTTTCCGCAACGGTTTGGAGTCAGCTTTCAGGGCTTAATGTCTTGCTTGATGAAAAGATCGCCCAAAACCCCCCTTTTAAAGGAAAATTATCGCAGGAGAATTCAGGATGTCTTAAAGCTAACATGCACCGAAAAACTCAAAAGGTAACATAAATGTCTGATTTTAATAGCGCATTTCTTTTACATAAACTGTGACGGGAACTTGCATAAACTTTATTATTACTGAAGAAATTTTTCACATGTTAATTTTAATGTAAAATTTTGCAACAAAAAGATGGCTTAAAAATAGATATTTAAAATACATCCACTTGCTTCTGCATAAATTAGCGATAATGTTTAATAATTGTGCCCTTTATCAATGCAATGGACCGTAACTGTGGGCAAAACAAGCCAAAAAGAATCAAGCCTTAAATATCAAAACTGGATGTAGTGAGTCCTTTGTTTTTGCCCACCAAATCTGTACAGTTGTAAAAAGTAAAACACTGGCCCTACTTTACCCAATATTGCTGTTCACGAAATTAAAGCATCCACTACTTAGATGTTTAAGTTGCATGTTTTCTTTTCTGGAGTGTGTAAATTGCATGCAAGAGCACTATACATTTTGTTTCAATCTGTGTCATTCTGAGGAAGCTTATGCTTTCCTTCTCCTATTTGCAGGAGGTGGTCTGCTGTTAGTTGGGATGGAAGCGGCTTTTGCTGAGGACGAGTTGGGTATGCAATTCAACAGTTTCTGGTTTACGGAACCAAAGACTCCTGTAATTCTCTTCAGCTAAATTGGCATAACTAGCCCACAAACCCTGGTGCATAATTTTGGTATTGTTCTTACTAAGAAGAGTTTGTGAGGGGGAAGCAAGACAAGAAACTCAAACTCAGCTGAACCATAAATTCTGTTAACTTGGTTTCTGTGCCAAGGAAAACTTGAGTTTTCTATAACAGTTCTACATAATAGATATTTGCATGGTTCTGGCTTCACTAGGCTCGGGGTGGGGTAAAGCTATGAACAGCACTGAAGCCCAGCCCATTGGAAATCATAATAGACAAGCTTCTTCATGTACTTTTCAAACATTATTGCAGTCATAAGGACTAGAATTACTTTAAAAAAATATGTCAGAATGAATTCTGTATTTCATACTGCGTTCCACTTGTTTTCTGGCAAAGAGAGACCTCTGATGAATATATAGTCTCCTTTAGAGGGAAGTCTGTTCTCTTACTCCTGAATTGCTTGTGTTACTATTACGAGCATGTGGTACTGTCCAGTCCACCCTTTCCATTCCATTCTGCCTCTGTCCAGCTGCTTGGTTGTCTTAAAGGTTTGGGGGGAATTAATGAGGATTAATTGGTTTGTGCCTTTCTGAAATGAAGCCAGTAATGACCTGAAAGCTGAAGATAGTAAACCACTTCAGATACTAAAAATGTTACATAAATCAGTTATTGTTGATTTGCTGGAAAAGAGGCTATTGTCTGGGACAAGTGGTGCCTTTGTTAGCATTTTAACCATTGAATAATGGAGGAGCTTCCTCTGCTGGTTACCAAAATGATGGTTTTTCTCTGGGTTTTTAGGACTTGTTTCCAATCTTCAGGCCCAAGTAAGTTAGGGTGGACAAGTTTGGCAGCAACTAGTTATAGAAGGTATCATTAGGTCAAATAAGCAGGAGCACAGTAGGCCTGCCCTGAACTCTTCTGACCAAGCTTGTACAGCAGGTGTAGAAAAACATTCCAGTTCTAAAATATGAAATGCTAGCCCCAATTTGGTTATACCTAGGCCTGCATCACAGGAAGAAAAAGGCAGTTCTGTGCCAAGAAAACTGAAGTTTTACCATTCAAATAAATTTCATGGGTGCATGAAGAATGGTTATATATTTTAAACTTGCTTAAGGTATTCCAAGATTTTGTGTTTCCCTTGGTATTTTATTTGTTTGTTTCCCTTGTTCTGCTTTCAGTAGATTGATGGGATTTTTAAATTTTGTGACAGGAAATGAGGGGGAGGTTAAATAGGAAGGGGAAGGGCTTAGTGAGTTGGTTGTCCCTTAATGTGGGACATGCAGATATGAAATATATGTCAGTGGTTCTTAAACTTTATGATGTAGAGGACCACTACGTTTAGTCTTTCAGTACGTTTTCTTCTCTCAAAAGGCTTTCTAAAGCAGCTTAGTTTGGTATTTGTCCTCATATGGTACATACGGGGCAGTGCATGGCCAGCCAGGAGGATCTTTGCACACCTGCAGAGGCAACCTGCCTTCCAGTTTCACAAATTAAGTGTAAAAGTGAGTTACCTCTTTGGCGTATAGTGGAAACTTTGAAGAATCCCCTGGCTTTTCAGCATTGCCCTCTTAATTTCATCATGGTTGCATGTTCCATCTGTGGTCCATGGGTCACACTTTAAGAAACTGGCACATAACTTTTGCGGTGTAATAGATGTAATAGCCTGCTGTGTTGCGGTGTAATAGCCTGCTGTGTTGCAGTAACTTTCTTCCTTTCCCTCACTAGGCGAGTCGTCAGTTCCCAGAAAAATGAGTTGGAAGTTGCCTGTTACAGGGCATATTCTTACCAAGAGGTGATCTTTTGGAGTCTTACAAGTTTCTGTAAATCACAGCTGAGCAGAGGCTTTGAAGATTTTCACCAGATCTGCATTTTGGGTCTGGTGTCATTTCCATACTCAGTTCAGTTTCCTCAAGATGGATGTGCCAGTAGTTTACTGTCTGGAATGCAGCATACTTTTATGCTGGCATAATTTAACACAGTGCAGTGCATTGCAAGTGGTTGAGCTGTTTCCTCAATAATTCATTCATTGTTTGTGCTTCTCTTATGGAGTAACATGATTGGACTGACTTTCTACAAGTTTTCTGTATACTAGAATGCCATTGAGTGTGTTAATAAAGATATTCCTTTTAAAAAATATCTAATTGTATGTTAATCACTTGATTCATGCTGCATCACTTTTTCTCACTGGCATCCTCAGATCTTCAACTGCTGGGATGGCTCTACGGATGGTATTAATAATTTGAAAATCGAGATAAGGTTCTTCAGCTTTTACACCAAAGTTCTGAGTTTGCAATTACTGCCGAATAACTGAGGCTTAATTATTATTATTTTCATATTTTCTGAAGTCCATGGGGTTTGGGGGGTATTTTTGTGTGTGTCTGGGTGCACACCTGGAAGTCATGGTGACCTCTGGTGACTGACTCCTACTCGGGGCATGGAGGATATTCAGAGAGGTAGCTAAATAAAGCGTGTCTCCTGGCTCTGGTATTCCATGGAGGTCTCCCATCCAAGTACTTGCCAGAGTCAACCCTGCTTAGCTTCCAAGATCTGATGGGATCGGGCTTGCCTGGGCTATCCAGGTCAGGTGAAATACATGCTTTTAATATTCAAGTAATTCTGAAAGAGAAGAGCTGGGCCAGAATCCCCTGCTAAAGACTTCATTGCTCAGCACACTAGCCATTAAACTAGGAACAAAAGGAAATCTGCTTGGATTTCCTCCCTAGTCTTAATGGCTAGAATCATGCTGCTGTAAAGCAACAGAGGAAGCAGAAATTTTAGGGTCATAGACTTCACATGGAACACAAATTGAACACCATTCCTTTATTGTTTTGCATATGTCACTTCTCCACACTTTTAACATATAAAGCAGAGGCTAAGTTACAAAATTAGGTTGACTAACCATACTGTATGTTGCAGATCAAAAATCCCTTCCATGTATACTCTATGGGAATGCAATTTTCAGCCTTCAGGGCTATTTTTTCACAAGCTGTGAAATACTGGGCAAGAAAACAGTTGTATGTGTGGAAAACACAAGTTGTGTTTGACCTTGTTATCTATGTCCTAGAAGTTGGATCAATTTTGGTTTAGAGTATTTTAGCTGAGAACTTTGAGCAACGGCCTGGAAACAGTCATCCAAAGGCAAGTAGAAATCTCTGGAAAAAAATGAAGATTGAGTTTGTTTAGCTGAGCCCAGTCCTGAAACTTGTTTAACAGCAGCAATCAGCTCTGGAACATGCAATGGGGAATGCTTTTAAGCACATGCCAAGACTGTTTCTCCCTTGCGGTTATGAAGATTTCCAATCTGTCTCCTCAATATGTCAGGATCCTTTTTATGTTCAATGGAAATTGTGTGTGCTAGCAATAAGCATCAAAGAGTGAACATGTTGCTGAGCCAGCCTATTTTGAAGCTGGCTGACAAGTAGTACATATCAGTTGCACAATGAGGTGGCAAGTTGAGAAATGGCTTGAGGATGGTTATGCACACCCATGTATGGAGACAAACAGGTTGTGCTCTGCAAGTGGTTTGGTTTGTGGGTGTCTGAACTTGGGCTTATAATGCCTAACTCACCTGTTTCAGCAAATGTGTTTATCATTAAGTGTTTGTTACAGCACACCCTTAGCCAATAGGTTTGCTGGGTCTACTCCCTGAAGTGCCTCTCCCTTGTGACTAGAGTTCTGCGTGATGTTCCTTTGCAGCTGGTCACCTATTAGTAGACATGGTTGGCCGGCAAGTCTTCCTATGGAAGAAGGGAGGATGTGGTTAAAATAGTGCAGAAGTTTGAAGGGGACTGCCAATCAAGCCATAACAGTCGAGGGGAGAATGTTAGACTTTTAACAGTAGAAACCGGTACTTGACGGTGAACCTCCAATTAGTCATGCTCATTCAATGAAACTTCCCTAAGAGACAGTCTGCCTTAGGGAATGGGGGCATACTCGATTCCTAGCCGATCCTTCCGGAGGCCGCATCTTTGGTCCTTCCGCTTGAAAAAAGCGGAGCACGTGTTCTTCAAAGAGCCGAAGCTCCTCCTCCGTCTTCGCAGCCGCTTCTTTGTTGCCTGGCGTCGCTACCTTCCCGCGAGCGCGTTCGGCGCCGCTTTGTCCTCTGCCGGCTGCCGTCCTCGGAGCCGCTCCGTGTTTAGTCGAGTCAAGGCAAGAAGTCTGGCCACGCCCGCCATCTTGCCCCCCGCGGCTCCTGGAGCTGTCGCCGGAATCGAGCTTCAGCCCGCCTGAGATGGGTGAGGAGTGGCGGTAGCGGCAACGGGCGCGGCCCCTCCCCCGTCGGTCTCCCGCCCTCCTGCTAGTCGGTGCCGCGGCGGGGGCGTGCCAGGCGCTGTATAGGGAGACTTTGGTTCCCCGGCCCTGTGCAAGAAAGAGAAGTCAGCCTCGGGGAGACAGCGGGGGCGGATCGGGGTAGGGCTCCACTCGCCTTCTTTTCGATAGTGGGGGGGGGGGGCGAAAGAAAGGCCTTGGGGCATCCTTATAGGTGTTTGGCTGGTTGTTCAGGGTCACGTTTGTGCTCCGCTGGCTTCCTAGGCAGAGCTTCTTTTCCCCTCCGCTTCAGTCTCACAGCAAACCTGTTAGGTAGGCTTAGTTTCCAGAGCCACTGAGTAGGGATTTTGACCCGAAGCGCTCGCTTTGAGGGGTATCCTGTCTGCATCCCTTTTGCTTAATTTGGCCCTTGGGGCTGCCACCTGCCTGGTGGAAACAAAGGCCTTGCGCCTTTAACAGAAACTGAATGGGATGTTATTTCCCAGGTGATAAGATTTTCCTCTCTGCCCTGAAAAGCTTCAGCTGCCTATTTCCATACATTGTGTTTGTATTAAAGTGACAGTGGTTATTTTTCTCCTCCAGACCAGTTGGGGACTTATTCGCACATCACTTTACCTTTCCAGGCCCCATATACCCAAGGCAGTTGGAATTAGATCCCTGGGAACCAAAATCGAATTTTTCAAGACAAACTGGTGCAGGCAGCCAGTGGTTAAGTAGAGGTGTAACATTTATAGTCACTTGGTATGGTGGACTCTAAAAAGGTAGTCCTGGCCCAAAGCTCTTGGGCGGATTTGTGGGACTAGCACACCAGTGGAGAGTTCCTACTAGGCTCATCCTGGCTTCTTGTGGTTTTCACCTGCCTGGGGGGAAACATTTACATATGTCATAGGTAAAGACTTATGAAGGATTTGTTTATGTCAAAACTTACCTTTGAAACTAATATCTATTTGATTTTAGTTTCAGATGGATAGTCATGTTGGTCTACAGTAGCAGAACAAAATTTCAGTCCAGTAGCACCTGAGAGACCAACAAGATTTAGATGTTAATTTTCTGCACTTCATGTCTCTATGTATCCTGACTCCATGTGGCCCTTCTTGGTACCCCACCCCCTCAATGTGGATGTAAGATGTGATGGGTGTTCATTCTGTCTTGTATCTGACAGAATGAGCTTTAACTCACAAAAGCTTATATCCTGGAAACATGTCAGTCTCTGAAGTGCTACTGGACTTGAATTTTATTTATTTTACTTCATTTCTACCCTACCTTTCTTCCCACTGGGGGCCCAAAGTGGTTTCCATTGTTCTCTTGTTATACATTTTATCTCCACAACAACCTTGTGAGGTAGGTTAGGCTTGAGCATGTGTGACTGGCCCACAGCCGTCCAGCAAGCTTCCATGGCAGAGCGGGGATTCAAGCCTGGATCTCCCAGATCTTAGTTTGATGCTAACCACCGTAGTTTGCTGTGAAGGATGCTGGTATGTTCTGTAGTTAAGAGAGTAAACTTTGAATCGGAAAGATTCCAGTTCAGATCTTGCCTCTCAAGCACACTAAAAGTGCAGGCCCATGCAGACTTGAAATTAGTGGGTTTAGGCTGGAGAAATGCTGCATAGGATTGCCCTGTAAATAGTGTTTCCTCTAAACTGAGTTAATGTGAGCTAGATCACAGTTTTTTAGTCTCCGGCTCGCACATTTTTGTCTTAGCATAGGAAGGATGGCTCCAGAGCAACTAATTTATGCAGTCGCCAAATTGCTCACTCACAACTTTAATGCCAGTAGCTCACAAAGTAGAATTTTTGCTCACAAGACTCCACAGCTTAGAGAGGCAGCATTGTAATGGGTGAGTTACTGCTTCTCAGTTCTCCCTTTCCAGTCTGCAATAGGGGCATTGTGACACCACTGCCATCACTGTTGCATCTTGAAGCCTTTGGAATGTGATGTCCTGTATAATCCCTTGCATTATTATGGTTGTGGTGGCAGTGTGTAAGAGATAGTGGGAATGCATGATTCTGTTTTATAGGACTGTTCAGTCCATCAGTGCTTAACCAATCTTTCCTTTGCAGTCTGAAGAGCCACAGGGATCGTTTGAGGAGAGGCATTGTCGTTTGCCCAGCTTCTGGATCGTTGGGGGTTATGGCTGGGGGAAGGAGGGGGCCTAACCGGACATCCTACTGCCGTAATCCCCTCTGTGAAACTGGAGCTGCAGGGAGCGCTGGCCATTCCACCAGCTCCTCAGTCACCAGTGTGCGTTCCCGTACCAGGTGGGTGTATGGCACAGATCTGTTGGGTGATCCTGCTTCAGGTAGGATTCCACCACTCTGGAAGGGTTTTTTTCCCCTGTTCTGAGACTTGTCTGAATTGCCCCAGTAAAATTTACCAGCTTGCCTGCTTCGTTACCAAATGTCAGTTTTTTCATCTGGCCCTTGCAGTGCAGTGGCTGCAGGTATGAGCTGAGTTTTCCAGTTCATGTTTGCCCCACCACAACATCAGCAGTAGCCTCAAGGATATTGTTAATCCTTCAGCTGCTATTTTCAATATGGGGAGGATAATACTGTCTGGACCTACAAGTTGCTATTCAGGTTACAGAGGCAATTTTTGCCATGTAGATAGGGCACTCAAAAAAGCACAGGAAATAACTCTGTCAAGGATGGCCTTTCTCATACGAATCCCTGCATTTTATGGGGTGAGCCCTTCACTGACTCCTTTTAATTTTATGTAATGTATAAAATATTTATATCCTGCCTTTCCATAAAGCACAAACTATTGGTATCCCGCCTTCCCATGAAGTTCAAGATGACTAACAACTTTAAACAGGTTTGTTAAAATGCAGTAAAATAGCCCCAATGTTAACAGGGAAGACAGTGTTATAGCAGGAAGAAGTCACTGTAAAATTTTCCTACAAACCAAAAATCAGAATCAGATACAAGCAACATAGTGTGCTCCCAAGGCAGCAAAAAGCTGTGTGGAAGAGCACTCCCTTACAGGCTTTCCTGAGAAGGTAGGGGAGGAGAGCTGTGTACTACTTCAGGCAAACCATTCGGGGGGTGGGGGGTGGAGAGTGCTCAAGAGTGAGCTGCAGAAGCATGCACCACTTGGAAAGACAGGGCAAGCAGAGAGCTACAAAAAGTGTGCCTTGCACATGGTGTCACACAGGGAGAGGTGACAGGATCATGACAGGATTTAGAGGAAATCAGTACCATTAAAGCATCCCTTCTTTGCAGAGCACGAGACTATTGGTAGTAAGGAGCTGGGCTTTTGTGATGATTACCTCAAAGCTATGAAATGATCTCCTTGGGGAGACGTAGGACTGCTCTTTTTTCTTTATTTAAAAGATTTGTGTCTTGACCTGACCTGCACTCTCCAGAACCTGCCCTGAGACAGTGGCTCTCTCATAAAAGTTGTAAAGCCCACCTGTTTCAGAGAATGTGTGGCTGAAATGAGGCTATGCCTGCCATGGCTGTTCTAAAGAGGTTTGTGTTGGTTTTATTTGAATGTGTTTGATCTTTGAAAAGGCAATATATTAATCGTTTAAAGAACTTAAGAGCAATCAACCCTGGGCAATGCAGGCAAGGGGTTAGATTCTGAGCTCTCTTTCTTGTCTTAGGAAAAGAGATTGCCAAAGCATGGCGGGGGTGGAGCAAGAGGCAAGGGAGATTGATGGATGCTGATGGAAGTGAGGGAGGCATGTCCTGCTTGGTAACTCAGGGTCATGTTCTGGGGCTAATAATGTTCAAATATTTATGGTTCCTCCTCCTCGTTAGT